CCACCCTGCCCACCCTGACCTCTCCATCCTCTCCACCAGCTCCAGGAGCGACTGCTGGAACCGTGCGGCCACGGTCGGAGCCTTGTACCGCCGTGTCCTGGTGCTGCTCCTCCTGATGAGGCTCCTCTGCCGCGCCAACACCTGGGCATGGCCGAAGAACAGGTTGGCCACCACCTTGGGGAGACAGGAAAGGGTAGAGAGGAGGAAGGTGGTCGGGATGGTGCAGCTCTCCCACATCCTCTTCACAGCCTGGCCAGTCCTTTTTTGTCCAGCCCTGGGCAAGATGCATCCCCTAATTGTGGCTGGATAGGGATGGGGATGAGGAAATGGATAATACAAATAACAGCAGCAGCCCATGTCCCTGTTTGTGCCAAATGCTTGAGGGGTCAAAGCCCAGAGGATTCCATGGGTGAAGCCAGAGTCTTCCTCTGCTTCTGGTCCCCCTGGGCTTCACCAGCTGTGGGGACACGCTTTGTCACTGCAGAGCCAGCCTTACCTTGGTCCTGCTGCTGATGAACAGGTCCAGCACATCCTGACGGACCTGGTCATAGTTTTTATCCAAAAACTTGTGAACCTGGCAAATAGCAAAACCTCATGGTGAGGAGCCTGGCAGGGTGACAAGGTGAGGCAAGGAGCTCCAGGACCCCAGTAAGACCCCCAGAGATGCATTTCTCTCCTTGGCACAGGACCAACCTCCTCTTTAACCCTCCCTGCTGGATATCCCAGTGTCACACACCTGGTAGGTCACCTTCCCTGCGTAGTGCTTGATGGTGAACTCGGGCAGCGGCATCTTTGGCTTGGTGTACAGCGGGTTTGTCCCGTGGTGGTAGTGACATTTCTGGAGGAATGTGTGATCAGTGGCCTGGGAAGGGACACAGGAGTGACACACAGCTCGGGACATTCAGCAGCATGTTGCAACAAGGTGATCTCCAAGGTCCTTTCCAACCCAAACCATTCTGTGATTCCATGATTTGGGCTTATCCAGCCTGGAGGAACCGGTTCCCAGGTAGTCCAGGACAGCCCAGGAGAAGAGCAGCCCTGGGCCTTGGTGGTTCCCCAGCCACAGTGACCTCCCAGTGCTGGCTGCACCTCATCATCAGGCAGCCCCTCACCTGGGGGAAGCAGCTCTGGTCATCCAGGATCCGGAGGATGCCGTAGGGTTTTTGGGAGATGAGGTCAATGCAGGGCTGGTTGTCACTGAAGGGGATCTCCTTCCACTCGATCTGCTCCCGGAGATACTCCTCCTGCAGGGTGGGCACCAGGTCAGCCCTGTGTCCCCAGCCCAGCACCAGGGCAGAGCCCAGCACTGCCCACCAGCCCCACCTGCTCCTCCTGGAACACAATCCTGTTGAAGAAGAACTGCAGATACTCATTGGCGTAGTTGATGCACAGCTGCTCAAAGCTGTTGAAGCTGAGGTCCTGCAAGAAGGAAGATCCATGGAGCCTGGGAGGATGGAGCTGGGATTGAGCCAGGACAGAGGTGGGATGAATCCTGCTCACCTCGAAGCCGTAGATGTCCAGGATGGCGATGGAGAGGGCCTCCTGCCGTGGGTACACCAGCTTGTTGATGCGGTCGGTGAGCCAGCCGAAGAGCAGGGAGTAGAGGGTCTTGGCAATGGCATCCCTGGGAAGGGGAGAGATGAGCAGAGTTCTGGAGCTCTGGAATGGCATCAGTGTACTCCACTGCCACAGCCAGCAGCCACCACAGCATCAGTTTTAATCACCACAGAGTCTAATCCACACTGGGGGACCTGATCATCCCCTTTCCCAGCTGGAATTTCACTTCCCCTGCCATCCCTGACCCCTCCACACCCTCCTGCAGTGCAGCCCCCTTCCCTCTACCTGGCATCCACGGCACTTTCAACAGTCAGAGGGGTAAAAATCTTCTCCCGCTGCGTTTCCTGGTTGGCAAATGGCATGATGGAGTTTCAGCAATATCAGCCATGGTCCCCAGGGGCCAGAGACCCCCTCCCAGCCTGTGCCCCCTGTACTCACCGTCACCTTGAAGGTGATGGCTTTCTGCAGGCCCTCAGGGGACACCTGCAGCAGCTCAGCCACCGTCCGGATCTCCGTGGCACTCACCACCGTGGCGATCTCCTGGCAGTCGGTCTGCAGGACACAGAAATGCCGTGGGATGGGGTGATCCCCCATTTGCCACATCCCAAATCGTGCCCAAGGAGCACAGCTCGGCTCCCCGTGGAGCTCACCTCGTATTTCTCAAAGTAGACGTTGCCCAGGTGGAGGACGGAGGAGAGGATGCGGAAGATGCTGTTCTGCTCCTCCACGCTGAAGTTCAGCACCTCCATGGTGTTGAGCAGCCGGCGGAAATCCTCAGCGTCATCCTTGCCAGGAATCTCGCAGTTCCCACCCTGGCACAACCCTCTCAGTCCATCAGTGGGTTCCAGGGGGTGTCAGCACCCAGCATGGGTGGTCACCCTGCCCTGAGCATCCTCCTCACCCACACACTGAGGGCTCAGGAACCCACCAGCACCCTGAGGTTCTGAGCACCCCAGAAATCAGGCTGTGGGCAGGCTGGGGAGGGGACACACTACCTGGTTCAGGTAGTAGTAGGTCTCGGCGCCCTGCAGGCAGTACCGCTGCCGCTGCTGGGACGGCAGCCCTGCCAGCATCTCATAGAAGATGTGGTAGTTGCGCTCGGTCTTAGCCTGGAGAGCAGAGGACAGAGCTGGGGAGGGGGTGGCAGAGGGGGCAGAGTGGGGGGCAGAGCCCAGGACCCCTTCACCACACACCTGGAAGACCACGCGGGACTTCTCCAGCAGGTACTGCGAGGTTATGGCACCGCAGATCAAACCGCTGCAGGGGTGAGAGTGGGAACCCGGCTGGCAACCTCGGTGTGGGCAGGGGCTGTGTCCCCCCAGCGCTTCCACCCATGCCCCAGTGCCCCCCAACAAAATGGGAGCTCAGTGCTGCTCCCCAGATGCCCCCACCAGGGACAGGTGGGCAGGGAGAGAAGTCTGCACCTGGCTGGAGTGCTGCACCCCGGGGTGATACCCCCTGTCAGGATCAGTGGGGCTGAGAGAGGATGGGGTGGGATATGAGGACAGGGATGGGAACTGGGAATGGTCAAGGTGCCAGCCAAGTCATGGCATCCCTACCCCAGGGACAGCCACCTGTCCTTGGGTGCCATCACCTTTCCAACACCAGGTTTGTCCCATGTGTCCTCCCAGGGACAAGGGGCTGGGTTGGGCTGGACACTCCTGGGGCAGCAGGGGACATAGGGTGGGAGCAGTCACACACAGATGTTACTCAGCATTACTTACTCCTCCAGAAAGATTTCCACAAATTTCCCAAACCTGCTGGAATTGTCATTCCTCACGGTTTTGGCGTTGCCGAAGGATTCCAGCAAAGGGGTCGCCTCCAGGATCTGTTGTGGTGATGGGGAGAGCTGGGGGGGTCAGCCTGGGCACCCAACACTCCACAGGACATCTCCAAGGCTAGAGCAGCCCCTTTGTCACCCTGCCACTCTCCCTGCCACCCCATGCTCCATGCAGACACCCGTGGGTGCCCAAATTGGAGGTGTGCACCACAGCCAGGTTAAATGAGGACGTGAGAGAACACAAAGACTCCACCCCTGTGCATGCACTGATTTCCTGCTGTCCCTCCCGCCTTTCCCCTGCAGCTGGGGTGCCATGGCCAAGATGCCACCACGATTCTCCATCCCCCTGAACCATCCCAGCCCACGTGTCCCCTTGGTACCTCTATCTGCCATGGTCCAGGTGGAAGCGTTGGGACAAGGAGAGAGCAGCAGAGCCGTGAGGAAAAGAGCGCTGGGAGGTGGGAGAAGAGGATGGGGACATGGGGACTCATGGGATGTCCCCACCTGTGGGGCAGTGCTGCGTTTCTGGCTGACAGCTGCCAGGTAGCTCAGGATCAGCTTGGTGGCTTCGGTCTTCCCTGAGCCACTCTCCCCACTGAAACACAGAGCGGGGGCATGGCTGGGGCCATCACCACTCAAGCAAGGGGTGCCCACCCCAAACCACCCCAAACCTCCACCAGCACCCCATCCCCGGGGCCAAGACAGGCTGGTGGCAGTGACCCAGCAATTAGGGTGGTGTTAATTAGGGGGCTGTGTGTGGGGATAGCCATGTCCCACCTGATGACGATACACTGGTTGTGTTTGGCATCCATCACTTTGGAGTAGGCGACGTTTGCGATGGCAAAGAGGTGCCTGGGGTGGGGAGAAGAACAAGGGGGGTGTTGTGCCACGCTGGCCCCACACAGGGACCCCCCAAAGTGCCCCAAGCACAGACACAGCTGCTCCAGCACCCAGAGACCGAGGGCTCCCCAAGGTCTGCTGCAGGACCCAAGTGTTGGGGATGAAGGGTGGGAGTGACCCCATCCCCACAGGGCATTTGGGGACAGCCTGGTACTCACGGCGGGTTTTCCCCCAGGGCTCTGCCTTCGTACTGCTGCACCTGCTCCTTCCCGTAGATGTTGTAGAGCCGGTACGGGTTCACCGACACCAGGATGCTGCCGATGTAGGTCTGCCGGAGAGAGGTGTGGGGCTGTGAGCTCTCGGGGGGTGATGACTCCCCAGAGACCCCACACATACAGTCTTTGGGGGATGCTGTGTCCCCCTAAGCTTACGTAGATGAGCTGGCGCTCAAACCGCGTCCGGATGTTGCTCAGCACTGCAGCCTCCTGGAGGTCCCTGGCATGAAGCAGAGGCTGAATTAGGGCGTGACACAGGGACAAGGGAGTGTCTGCTGTCCACAGAGTCTCCTCAGCATCTCAGGAGGCTGAAGCAGAGCCCATGTTGGGATGGGATGGGATGGGATAGCAGGGTCAGGTATGAGGTTGGGAGCTGCATCCCCACTGTCCCCCACAGCACTGAGTCATGGTGTGACAGGGACACTCACTCCAGCTGGGTCATGTCCTCCAGCCCATCCTCCTCCTGTGGCTCCTGGTACCGCATGATGGGCAGGCTGCACAGTGACTGCATCTGCATGGAGCAACCACCCCACCATGGCAGGGATGTGCCAACACCCTCAGACCTCCCACCCAGTCACCACCACCACCCCAAAACACCGTCTGTGACCCCCCAAACCATGGGACATGCAGTCAGTGATGGCAGGAACCCCAAGAAAACACCTCACAGCCCCAAAACCAGTCCCCCCGCAAGAGCATTGTGTGTCAGGTGAGAGCAGCAGTGCTGGAACACAGAAATGTGAGGCCACCAAGGCCACCTCAGGGCTGGTCCCAGGAAAACCTGGTCCTGAGAATCCCGGTCCCGCTCACCGGGAGGGGATGGCATCACCTGCAGTGGAGGTGATGGAAGGGGGCTGAGGCTGCTCCCCCCGGCCACGCGCAGGGGTGACACAGGCCAGGTGTCACACGGGAGCCTGCGCTGGCCCCTGGCCAGGCGGTGGGCAGGAAAGCGGACACCCCGCAGGGTCACCGTGCCACCTGCGCCTGTCCCCGCCGGATCGGGTCTCTGCATTTCCATGCGCCAGAATCAAGTGTCCCCTGAGGGGCCGCTCGTGGGGGGACACACAACAGCTGATGATCCCCTTTTCCAGTCTGTTCCCCGCGGGAGGACCCCCGCCAGCACCCAGACCACCCGCAGCCATTTACCCCACCCTGAGCACCGCAAACCCC